AGATCGTGTGTGTGTGTGTGTGTGTGTGTGTGTGTGTGTGTGTGTTACAGAATGCCCCAGCCCTGTTTTGAACAATTAATAGTAGAAAATATAGAACTTTAAAAGAAATTTATAGCAGGAAGCAGCAGAAAGTAGTGGCAAGAAGCTGGAACTCTGACAGCCAGGTGATTTGAGTTGTGGTCACAGTAGCATCTGCCAGATGAGAGGCGTACAGAAGGGTCACTATCAAGTCAAGAGTTTAGAGTTTCATCCAAGCCAAAATAAAGTTCTAAATAATTTAAAATATGCTTTAGTTCTCAACTGTGTTCCATAGTTAAGAAAAGAGGAAAAAGAAATTCGAGAAGTACAGACAGATGGAACATGAGGGAGTTAATGATAATAAAAGAACAGAGTGATCAAGAGCAACACACACAAATTCTACACAAAACTTCTCTTTCCTTTCCTCCCAAAAGAATTGTGTTAATGAAAAAAAGACAAATACACTCTAACAAAAAAATCCAGCTATGGAAATAAAAATGTTTCTAGAGATTTTCATAGAGTAATGCTCTTATTTTGTTCATCTTGAAATATGTAAACACAAAAATATTTTAAATTAATTTAATGTGAAATTATTACACCATAAGACATAAATGAAACAAGTCAAGGTAGGCACTCCATAATCAATATATAACCAAGCTGAAGGTTGGAGAATACCTCTGTTTTATATTACCCTTAGATTGAGCAAAATGTCCTTTGTTCCTTTGAAATCTCAACCTCTAGTCCATTTCCAACCAAGCAATCCAAGATGAACATTCCTAAAATAGAATTGTATCCTAAGAATTTTTTTATGAACTTGAGCTCAGCATTACTCTGCTTCCAGATAAGCAGGATTTACACATTTAAACTTCAGAACTACCAATTATGTATAGTGCAAAGCCTATGATGCAATTTGAAGGCCATATTTAGGAATTTCAGTACTAACCTTTGAGCTGTGCAGAGGGCATTGGGCAAGGCAGCTCTTGCATTCATCTCTGAGTCCCTCCCAGATGAAGCTCATCCAGTGCTTTCCTGACTTTCCTGGGCTCTGAGCCTCTCTAGGAATTTAGAGTGGTGAGCGGTTGTTTCCTTGAATACTAATTAACACACAAGGGAGTAGAGAGGTTTCTACACAGACTTCTACCTGCTGTTGAGGTATGGTGAGTACCCCAATCAACTGCAAAGACATTGGTAAGAAGGGGCAAATCTAAAGGCTGCTGATCTTTACTCCTTTCTCTGTTGCCCATCTACTACAGTCTCTAAAGTTCTGTACATTTTCACATCTGTAAGGAGAAAGCTGTTATCAGAGCTGTCTTGACAGGATTCATAGAAAGTGTGTTTTTTTTCCGTTTTTATAAGTTTTTATTTAAATTACAAACAATCTTATTTTACATGCCAATCCCATTTCCCTTTCCCTCCCATCCTCCCATGCCCTGCACCAATCCCCCATCCTACCCTCCTTATCCACTCCCCAGGGAGGGTGAGGCCTCCCATGGGGGAATCATCAAAGTCTGTCACATCATTTGGGTCAGGGTCTAGGCCCTCCCCTGTGTAGACTGAGAGAGTATCCCTCCATAGGGAATGGGCTCCCAAAGTCCATTCCTGCACTAGGGATAAATACTGGTTCCACTGCCAGAGGCCACATAGACTGCCCAGGCCTCCCAACTGACACCCACATTCAGGGGACCTGGTTTGGTCCCATGCTGGTTCCCCAGTTGTCAGACTGGGTCCATGAGCTCCCACTTGCTCAGGTCAGTTGTTTCTGTGTGTTTACCTCAGCATGGTCTTGACCCGTTTGCTCATCACTCCTCCCTCTCAACAACTGTATTCCAGGAGTTCAGCTCAGTAGTTAGCCATGAATCTCTGCTTCTGCTTCCATCAGCTACTGGGTGAAGGTTCTCGGATGGCATTTAAGGTAGTCATCATTCTCATTATAGAGGAAGGACATTTAAGGTAGCCTCTCCACTGTTGCTTAGATTTTTAGTTGGGGTCATCCTTGTGGATCCCTGGACATTTCCCTAATGCCAGATTTCTCTATAAACCTATAATGGCTCCCTCTATTATGGTATCTTGCTCCCCTTCTCTATCCTTTTTCTTACAGAAAATAACTGTAGAGAAAATTACTTACAAATGACTGTGATGAGCTTGTTTGGCTCCAGCTAATTCCTTGGGCCTTTGGAGACTTGGTTTTTCTGTAAATTAGATAGAACTAGAACTTTCCAACCCCTTCCCACAAAATGTGATGCTGGAGATATAAACCTTATAGCAGATGTAAAAGCACTCCAGTGTCTGGAGGGTGGAGGCCACATCAGTTCTGCTCAAGTGACTGACACTGTCAACAATGTATAAGTGAGCAGTGTTTAGCTAATTGTGGGATGTTTCCAAGATATCATTTCATTGGCCCTTATACAAAGATGTGAAATGAAGAGGCCATTTTAAAATTCAATTTGACTAATAAATAAATTGAACACTAAAGGAGTGGCAGCTAGCTAACAGCAGATATGTCCTCTTCGACGAAGCCCCATGCCATGTTAGCACACCAGAGTGCATATGCCCATCTCCTTCTCATTCCTTTTCCCACTCTGTGAGAAGCCTTTAATTAGAAATCAAAGCTTTCTATTTCTCACCTATAGTTCAAGTCTATCAACTGACATGAAGCTCTTAAATATATTTTGAAATTTCCCTTCAGCCAATATCTGTTAACTTCAGGTCAGTAGAAATCCTGAATCATCCAAGCCCTAAACCTTTATTTTGATGTTTTTAAACATTGTTATTTCTCCCATCAACACATCACCGACAAGTCCCTTGAGGCTTTCTTTATAAAGTATACTGCGTTTCTCAGTGGCTCCTATTCATCTGTGGCATTTTTACAGTGTTCGTTATCGTGGTTTTATTGTACAGACAAAAGTATTCTCGAGTGCTTTCTGTCCAGCAGCAATCTTCAAAGCCTTTGATCTCAGGGAAGAGCAGGCCAAAGTAATTTCACACAGCAAAGAAAGGTTTGTCCCCTCCCATACCTGTTGCTCAGTTTCCTTTATCAATTTTATTTATGTTTCTTTCTCCCAGATTCTTGAAGAATAAACCAATGTGAGGAGGTTTTTCATCCCTCCTCTCTACCCTCCTTCTGTGTGTCCTCTTTAGGATGGAAATCTGAAATCTTACTGTTAATTCTTAGTTCATTAAGCTTGTGATATCTCCTGATGTAAATAATTCCACTGAAGTCAACCACTCTAAACTATGTTGGACTGTGGGACAAGGCCTCCTTATCTGCTGGACATTAGATGAAATCTGGAGGAAAAAAAGGAATTGATGGACTGGGTTCTAAAAAAACTTAATTCTAAGTAGTAGATGCCTATGCATTTAATTCCTTCTTTGATTCTCAAAATCTGAGCAGGATCCCAAACATAGTTCAGTTGCACCACCTTACATAATCTTCACACAACTCAGGCAATTAGGCATTATTTACTCCCATTTTTCAGATAGGATTCTGATGTAAATCATTTCCACTAATGCTCTTGGGTATGTCCAGTCTGTGGTCTGAAGGCTACAAGTGGCTGATGGTAGCTGTGAGAGTGGCATAACACAAAATCATAAGCATTCTTTTAAAATTACAAGGTGTTTTTTTCCAGTTTTTTGGTAACTTAATCACATTGTTCTCAAGCATGAACTTTGTAGATGACGATGTTATGTTCCAGGGTCAAAAGTTTGGACACATTTGCCTGGAATATGTCTTGCTCCACTTCATTTTTGCTGCTGTGTGGGATACCATAAGTTATGTAATTTATAAACAATAGAAATTTATTTCTCATAGTTCTTGTCTCTATTAAGTTCAGGATCACTGTGTCAGCAAGTTCAGGTTGAGGATCACTGTCTGATTCCCAAGATAATGCTTTTGTAGAGGATACAAGTACTGAGTCCTTCTATATAGAGGAACAAAAGCAGCAAACTCTTGATAGATGGATGCATGCATGTGTGGATGCATGTGAGCATAAGAGCATGGTGGATGGATTTTTGGAGCAGATGGAACATAAAGCCTTGTACATGTTAAGTGAGCATGTTATGACTATGCTACATGCTAAGGCCTTATTCCCTTTTATATGACACTAATCCATAATGGGAAAGACCATTTGGCCTACTTAAAGTCCCACCTCTTAATATTGTTACCATGAACATCAGCCATGAGTTTTGGAGTAAGGACAAACACAGTATGACAGATACAAAACCAAACATAGTCTTCTGGCCTCCACAGCACAATCTCTACCTTAGTGATTTGCACAATAAATTATATGAAGAAGGTAGATATTCATATGATCCTGAAAAAATAGGCAGAAGTTGAAGAGGATGTGTGTGTGTGTGTGTGTGTGTGTGTGTGTGTGTGTGTGTTCACATTCTTGTCTTATTCAAATAACTTACTCATAAGACTAATAAAATGTTTGCATGACATGAGAAGAGAGCATGGCTAAACAGAGACCCACTTAACTCATGTCCACATCCTCAGGAACATTGTCTTATTTATAAAATTATCTCTATTGTTAAGTAGTATCTATATTGTTAAGATTCTGTGGCTGGAGATGTAGCTCCATTGATAAAGTTCTCACCTCACATGCATAAAGTCCTAAGTTCTATTCCCAGGACTCCATAAAATCTTGTGTAGTGATGAATGCCTGTAATCCCTACACTCAGGAGATGGAGGCAGGAGAATCAGAAGTTCAAGGTCAACCTTTCATGCATAGCAAGTTTGAGGAAAGCTTAGGCTATATGAGACTCTCTCTCGAAAAACAGAAACTTACATTAATTTTCTGGCTTCCGTTTCATTTTTAGGATTACAAGAGTATGCTGACATCATTCATGTTTCCACCAAATAGAGACAGAGATCATGAAGAGTAGACCCACTGATTATCTACTGAGAGTTTCAGAGCCAGGGGTCCCTCAATGACCAAACATCCACCAATGATACAAGCAAGCTTGTATCTAATCCTGACCTAATGGAAGTGCCCCTACATCAACCAGGACCTAATAAAACCAGTGCCAAGAGCAACAACTCTTCATTTTTCTACTTTGAGTCCTGTCAACCCCCTTTTCTAGCCATACTCTTGCTACTCATAGTATATACTGTGGTCCTAATCATGGGCATTTTTGGAAATCTCTCTCTTATCATCATCATCTTTAAGAAGCAGAGAGAAGCTCAAAATGTTACCAACATACTGATTGCCAATCTGTCTCTCTCTGACATCTTGGTGTGTGTCATGTGCATCCCTTTCACAGTCATCTATACTCTGATGGACCACTGGATATTTGGGAACACCATGTGTAAACTCACTTCCTATGTGCAAAGTGTCTCCATCTCTGTGTCCATATTCTCCCTTGTATTGATTGCTATTGAACGATATCAGTTGATTGTGAACCCTCGAGGCTGGAAGCCCAGGGTATCTCATGCCTACTGGGGCATCATCTTGATTTGGCTCATTTCCCTTTCATTGTCTATTCCCTTATTCCTGTCCTACCACCTCACCAATGAGCCCTTTCACAATCTCTCCCTCCCTAATGACATCTACACCCACCGTGTAGCCTGTGTGGAGATCTGGCCTTCCAAATTGAACCAACTCCTCTTTTCCACATCATTGTTTATGCTCCAGTATTTTGTTCCTCTGGGTTTTATTCTTATCTGCTACCTGAGGATTGTTATCTGCCTCCGAAAAAGAACTAAGAAGGTGGACAGGAGGAAGGAAAATGAGAGCCGCCTCAATGAGAACAAGAGGATAAATGTGATGTTGATTTCCATTGTAGTGACCTTTGGTGCATGTTGGCTGCCCTTGAATATCTTCAATGTCATCTTTGACTGGTATCATGAGATGCTGATGAGCTGCCACCATGACCTGGTATTTGTAGTTTGTCACTTGGTTGCTATGGTTTCTACATGCATAAACCCTCTCTTTTATGGCTTTCTCAACAAAAATTTCCAGAAGGACCTAATGACACTTATTCACCACTGTTGGTGCATGGCACCACAGGAAAGATATGAAAATATCGCCTTGTCCACTATGCACACGGATGAATCCAAGGGATCATTAAGACTGGCTCACATAACAACAGGGGTATAGAAACTAGTAACCAAAGCCAAAGTCCTTCTGAAAAAGAAGGGAAAGGAAGAACATGGCATAGGGTGAGATGCAGGGGAAGCCAGAGTTAAACACATAAAGACCTAGAGGCCCAGTTTTTCTTTCAGTTAAGCATGTCTATCCCATTCATCTACAGAACACACAGAGATGTATCCCCGCCCTTTATTTTTTTTCTTGGAAGAATAATAACCCAAGAAACCAACCACCATTGCTATGATAAAGAGCAAAGATGAGGAAGCAGATTACAAGGATAGCGGAGATTACTGGGGTACAAAGTTCCTGCTGTTCACTGAAATAGTCACAAAGTTATTAGCTGTGCTATAACCAGTAAAAACCCATGCTATGCCTCCTTCACATCAAAGCAATTCCACTTTTAGATGAAATGGTAACTTTCAATCACATAAAATTACTTAAATTAGAAAATATAGTGTGATAATTTATTAGTTAATTATATCTGGATTATAGTTGAAAATGGGTTTTAACATTTAGACTGAACATTATAGCTATGATTAATTTCCCTATCTGAATCATATCCTTAACTTGTGATAATGCTCCTCACTAACAATGCTATTTTAAGACTAGGAAAACTGATCACAGATTCGTTAGCACTCTAGTTATGCCAGATATCATTTTAACTAATGAATGACCTATATCAATAGATTTCATTACAAAATGGTCCTTTATTCTTATGTCTTTGTATTTATTAAGTAGGAGTCATTATAACTTTGTAAACTGGGAGATTTTATTAACAGCAACATTATAATCAACTACAGCATTTCAGAAAACTATCATCTCTCTCATTAGTTAAACATTATTAAATTATCCACATTACATAGGAGCATGAGCTAGATTATTTTTAAAAAGATAATTGACCTACTGTTTCAACAGCTTTTAACTCAGAGACTTTTATTAAATCACACAGCTTTGCTATTTCCTTAGTTAGACATCCCTGATGCCTATTAAATCTGGATTTCAGCCTATTTGTACTGTAAACAAAAGCAAATGTGTTTTCTTTTGAATAAATACTCTCATAATACCTGGGAGTTTTTTCCAGTTCTTGGAATGCTATCACTGCCTTCCCTGTTTTTCCTTCCTCCCATCCTTTTCCTATTCTCATAAGAACTTGTATTCTCTGCCATTTGAGGAAGAATAAACCACAGAAACACTGCTGGACACCCAAGTGAAATAAACAATGATTCTCTCTCCTTACCCATTCTACCTTTTCTTATAGAGGAAGTTTTGTAATAAATATTCAATGTAATCATTTTCCTACTTAGTAAAGAAATACCAACCCTAGTTTCATTGCTAAAACAACACTGCTCAAATTGCTAAAAGCAGAAAAAGCACTAAACAAATACTAATAGTGTTCCCTCTCCTGACCCACAAGGTACCATCTCCTCAACCTGGACTCACCCTGGTTCCAATAAGCGTGGTTTTTCTTCTACTCTGTTTCTTTTGCTTGTCTTTTAAACTTTTCTTAAGCTCATAAAATAGAAGTCACTAACACTGTAACTGTTGGTTGTCTTGTGTTTATTTTTTAACTTTGAAAAGTAGTGAGTAAAATCTGGGAGACTAGATCTTGCCCTGTTACCAGGCTGTCCTCTAATACAGGGCAACAGACCTGCCTTGGTTTTGTCCTGAGCTACCATACCAAGCTCTTCAGTTTTTCAAAGGGCCATCCATTAAAAGAGGTAGAGAAAAGCCATCTGAGAGCTGAACTGAGGAAACATAGGCTCACACAGGCTCTGGCAGGCCCTGACTGGCTGGGTATATATAAAAGAAGTGTACGATGGGGCTTGATCAGGAGAGCTGCCAGATTTGGGTAGGAGAACAAAAAGCCTGCCAAAACCCTTGAGAGTTCTGGATCAGAGCTGCCATTCCATGCTACCGCTCATGTGACAATGGAATGAGTGTAAAAGAATGGTAAGAATGTTCCTATTAGTTCCTAGCTTGAATTAGCACCAAGCAAAAGGAGCCAGGGTGTGACACCTGAAAGTCTTAGCTTGTGGCTGAAAACTCTGCTCAGTCTCTGCACATAGCTGGGGGCTGTCCCAGCTGCAAGGAGAAGCTTTGATCACATGCTATTTCCCTTTCTGACACCATGGCCACTGAGAAGTGGGTACTAGGCTGGAACTAAAGGCCTATGCCATGAGACCTGGCTCTGACATACTGATTTAATTCCTTTGGAGATATATAAATTCAGAGTAGCCTTGCTAGATCATAGAGTACTTTTGTTTTTATTTTTTTAAAGGAATTTCTACAGTGTTTTCAATAAGGCTGTATTAGCTCAAGGGTTCTGAAAGTTTTCCTTTCATTTGGACAGTCTAAAAGCTACCTATAAGAAAATTGAGACCAACTAAATATAGAGTTAATGTCGAAGGTAGAATTAATTTACTTTTCAGCCACAAGTGAGGAAGGATACTGGGGAAGGGATTCAAGAGACCAAAAAAAAAATAAAAAATGTTCCAGGCTATGCTCAGGAATTCCTTCCAGAAGTCAGAGATGCAATAAAGAAGACAAAGAAGGTAAGTGTTTCTTGTGAGCTGAAAAGGTCTCTTTCCCTCCATTTGTGTGCCCAAATCAAATTCATAGTTGAGGTTGAGGCATTTCTCCTGAGAGAAAAGTGAAAGGCACGGAGTGGTGGTAGGACCTCCTGAAACTGGTAGCCGACTATTTTCTGCTTTTGTCCATGTCAGGTAGCTAAATCTGTTCTTTTGGGCTTGCCTATGAACTTTTGGAGACCTTCTCCTACATTTGCATTCTTTCTATAATAATTTCTCACTGTCATCACCCATGGATATGTTAGAACTAGACAAAGAAAAAGAACTTTGGAAACTGAAAACAATTAAAAATTATTTTCTCAACACAATAATAAATCCACTTTTATGATTATACACATTTATAAATGCATAAATAAATGTGTGCATCTGTGCATGTGTGCTCCTTGAATAAAACAATGTATATCTTACTTTGGTTATTCCAAGGCCAACTATAGTAGCATCAGCCACAAAGTATTCAATGAATATCTATAGACTACAGATATAGAATAACATGGGGATAACAAATATTTGTTTGAAAGTGGTGTGTGGACTTGAATATAAAGAAGGGCCTACATTTCCCTAGATTCAGTGTCTGAGGGAGTAGATGCCAAACAGTTATTGAATATCAGCATTCATGAAATCATTGATGATAGGAGGACGAATAAAAACACATCTTGATCATAGGAAGGTTCAAGGACAAGGTGAACAATTATGGCTATCTTAATTACTGCTCTATGAGAACACTTTGCTTACAGCTTCAGAGAATTGGTCCATGATCATCACTGTGGAAAGCATGGCAGCACATAGGCAGAGTACTAGCAGCAAACTTTACATCCTGATCCACAAGCAGAGAAAGATAGTGGGCCTCAGCCAAGCTTTTAAAACCCCAAAACTCGCCAGGCTGTGATAGTGCTCCCCTTTAATCCAAGCACTTGTGAGGCAGAGGCAGGTGGATCTCTGTGAGTACGAGACCAGACTGGTCTACAAGAGCTAGTTCCAGGACAGCCCCCAAAGCCACAGAGAAACCCTGTCTAAAAAAAAGAAAAAAAAACCTCAAAACCCACCACAGTGACACATTTCCCCCAACAAGGCCACACCAACCACATAATCCTTCCATGCTGCTTGCCAACTGGAGAATAACCATGCAAATATATGAGCCTATCAGGCCCGTTTTCACAGAAATGCCACTTGGCAATGAGTTAGCTAATGGGCAGGTCTTGGGACTGGGTAAAAAATGCTCTAAAAGCTCCTATTTTGCTGTGCTGTCAGGTTCTTGAAGCAAACAACTTTTAAAATTAAAAACAAAAAGTCTTCCAGGATAACTGGCCTCTGGGAAAGTGATACAATTAAGAATGTATGAGAGAGAGAAACTAGATTCTCCATAATATCAAAAACAATGGAGCTCTGTCCCTTCAGAAAGCCAAATTCTTCTTTAATGAGGAAACAATGATGCTCAAAACAAAAGTTATAAAGTTAAGACCCAAGAATCCAAAGTGCCTATCTATAAGAAGGTGTGGGATAAAGAGGCAGGCAATCTGAAGTTTCAGTTTGGCTCTGAGCAAATCATCTAACCACCCATTCAGTCAGCAAGATATTTAATAAGCATCCACTATGTGCTTAAGTGCAACAGACAGCAAGAGAGACATAATCCTGTTCTCAACAGGATTAATGTCTATCATAGGTGACAGCTCTTTAAAAATAAGTAAACAAACAAACTGAAATTGTGATAATATAGCTCAGAGTAGAGTAGCTGCCTGGGATGTCCAAGATAGTAGGTTCGATCCCTGGCACTGCAGAATAAGAAGTAGAAGAAGAACTAGGAGGAGGAGAAAGGGAAGAAAAAGTATAGGAGGAGGAGGAGGCAAGACAGTGATAGAGGAGGAGAAAAAAAGAAGAGGAGGGTAAAGAAAACACTAAAACATGGCTATAACAGAATGTGTGGTATTATAAATGCATTTATCAAGAATTATACTTATCTATTTTTTTTTTTTTGGTTTTTCAAGACAGGGTTTCTCTGTGTAGCTTTGGAGCCTATCCTGGCACTCGCTCTGGAGACCAGGCTGGCCTCAAACTCACAGAGATCCACCTGCCTCTGCCTTTCCGAGTGCTGGGATTAAAGGCGTGCGCCACCAACCCCCCGACTAATTATCCTCATCTAAAAAGTAGAGAATCTTTCTACAAGATGCGGAGGACAAATAAGAGTTAGGCAGGAATAGAATGGGGCTAGTATTCTCTTCACTGTTTTGTGAATCAGAGCCCAAAGGAACAGCACACCTCCTGTCTCTCCACTCACATCTCACTCAGTCCTAAAAATGTTCTTGAAGGTAAATGAAGGCACTTTACACCAGAAATAAGGAAACTTCTAGTTAGACAAAGTGGTGCAGAGTCAGGTCATGGTAAATCTGGCATCAGCTTCTGAGGAATGAGCTGCATAATGGAAGA